CTGTCGTCGGTTGTACCATTTCAACGCGTAAGTTTACCTACTAGCGCTACCAATGTGAACATTTTACCGTGTTGCCTTTTAGGGGCTTTTATCGCCTCTGGGTTGTTGTGTAGCCATCGATGTCGACTCAGTGCTTCGGTATACCGAGATTAAATACTTGTTACGGCTACGATCATGCCTGATCTAGCTGGCCTCAAATATGTCCTGGATGGTACTTTTCCACGCGTGACGATCCGTGGTAGAAGACCTGAAGAGTTCAATCCGTTCTCTTCGCTAACGTCCGAAGCCGAATACAGAAGGTCCAAGAATCACTTCCATATCCTGACGGAATGAGTGGAGCCAGGTCTTGAGTCGACCACTTCTTCGATGTCTTCAATTGGGAAATGGTGCTGGATCGAGGCCAGTAACAATGAACTTGTCAAGTTGGCGACCAAGAAGGTGTCCAAACCACTGCAGTCTTTTCTCGTGCATGGTTTAGGATAACCTTGCGATGTTGTCGCAACAAGTATAGACAGCCTCGTTTGAGGCGAAGTCGGTTTACCTCACTCGGGGAATGGTCTCCAAGCTGTATTGTTCAAATATCTCCAATTTTATTCCATCCTTGCGTGAATGGCCCAACATTTACAGCCGTCGAGAAGGCTTGGGAAAACTCGAAGAACAACATCGAATCGGGTTACAATGTAATCCTTACTGTGCCCATTGGGCAAAAACTTCGCTCCGAGGTATTTGAAACTGTCTACTTCAAGTTCACAACCGCTTATCTTGAAGACTGCCTTCTCTTGGGGAGGGGTGCAGCATGACGACACTTTGGTCTTCCCAACGTTTATGGACAAACCGACCGATTTAATGACCTCGTTCATCCGTAACAACGTAGACTGTAAATAACCAAGACTAGAAGCTAGTAGGGAGATATCACCAGCATCCGGGTGCAAGCTCAATACCGTCATCTTCAAGTGGGGTCTTCCAGAATCCAATCAATGGCGAAATTGAATAAAATCGGCGACAAGATACAGCCTTGCCGAACGCCACACCAAATACCACGCGGTTCTGAATAATCTTTATGGACCAGCACCCGCGCAATGATAGGCCTTAATCTTGGCGGCGATGTTTGGTAATACATCATATAGTGCCATTATCAGCCGTAGGAATTCACCATGGACGGAATCAAACGCAGCGGCGAAGTCAAAAAATACAGACGGCCGTTGGTAGTTCGTAATTATGACGGACTTCAAGGATGAATATTCAATCCTCATATTTGCGCGGAATCCGGCTTAGTTGGACCTCGTGCTAGAGTCATAAACAGACTAAAATCGCCTGAAAAAGACAAGAGCGAAGAACTTCCCAACAACGTCAATAAATTTTTTGCTGTGGTACTCGCATTTTGTTTCCCTTCTTGTAGAGGGGTACAAGGATGCCTGAGCCCCAGTAATCAGGAACGGCCTCGTCTCTCTATGCTTGTCCAATCACCTCATGGAGCTAAGGCGCCAGAGTGTCGGCACAAGACTTGTAGATTTCAGCGGCTATACCGTTCTCTCCAGGTGCCATATTGTTGCGCAGCCTTTTATGGCATCAGCAATTTCTGCTTCAGAAGGCTAGTTGCATGACACTGGACAGGCAAGAGACTCTGCTGCAGAGGAGAGGGAGGATTTATTAGGCTACTCATAAAAAGTTTCGGTGCTCGAAGTGCTCACGCCAGCGTTCGAACTTGACCTAGTTGTCAGCAATAAAACCGCCATTCACTTCGCAAACAGGTCATTCAGTGAAGAGAGCTTACCATAAACTTTGCGATTACGTCGGTAGAGTTCTCGAGTATCACCAACATTCGACGCTTGCTCTGGAGGTCGCTATTTCAGCCCAGTATTTCTCCCGGTCCTCCATGGCCGATTTTATCGTCATCTTTCTTAGTTGGCGGAAAGAGTAATCTCTACGGCACCCGGCTCGAGCTGCCTGAGCAGACAACTACAGGGTTCTTCCGCTGATCCAATCACTGCGGCGTTACTGGGTGCATGCGAGAGTATTCTCAGCTGTCTCATGGACCGACGTTTTTCAGTAATGGCCATTAACTACTGTCTTCTCTGTAGGCTCGGGTCGTTAAACAGGACCGGATTTAGCTACTCAGCATCTCGGCAGTGCTAGGTTGCCGAATTTTGGTGACACCGAGGCGCCTAGCTCGTAGTATTTTTGGTGTAGATGAGAGATGCACTTTCATGCGTGTACGAAGGCAGATGTGGTCAGACTCATGGGTATTACCAGTTTCGGAACCAAGCGGCGATCTGCTATCATGAACGTAGCTGTGGAACTCCGAATTGAGTAAAATGTAGTCAATTTGACTGGCCGTATGAACGGCATTTGAGTGCCTGGTTAGCAGATACGTGTTGCAGTGCTGGATGCACGTATTAATAACAAACAGCAGGTTCTGATCAGCAGTCTTTCATTGCCACATCACGAAGCAAGGCCAAAGTGGCCAATAAAATGACGGTTTATAGGGTCTTCAGGTCTAATTCCGAAATTCCAGTCCCGGTTATAATCAGCAGATCGCGACGAGGAAGCCTGTCAACTTATGTTTGCAGCTGAGAGTAAAATGTCTCTGTATCGCGCTGTTCGGCAGCGCAGGTTGGCGCATAAATATTTGCGAAGTAACCCTTCAGTCGTTCGTAAGCAATCCATTCATGGACTGGTTTCCAAGCCGGTAGTGTACGGTTCGCATGTTGCGAGAGGACTGGAATAATTGTGTTGAGTCAGGACCTCGGAAAGGCAGCAGACATCTAGGCTGTACTGATAAGGGTTGCGTACCGCCCAGCTTTTGGCCACAGGGGCCGATTTCCATTGCGTAGTCCAGCTCGCATAGTATCCGCCCGCACCACTGGAACAGGTTTTCGTAGCGCGCTGGTTCCTGCGGAAGTCGTAGCACGAATCGTAATACTATTATCGGACATAGTTTACAGGACGTTTCGTTGGGTTCGAGGTTGTCTCATTTAAGATTTTGACTCAATAGCCTAATCACAAGGCAGTGGTGGCAAGTGAATTTATTTACTGGCGGCTCAAGGTCGCCATGTCAGTGCCATCGTCAGGCTTTGCGGCAGTTTATAGGTTTTTGACGTGCTAGTCTAAAACCCACTAGTAGCACCGTTGCTGCGTATCTGGCAGTTCTGAGAGGCTGTTTATTTTGCAGAAAACCTTCACCGAAGGCCGTTCCACCATATGTGGATGCGCCGGTTAGCCAGCAGCTAGGCTACCGGGCAACCCGTCTTTCATCCTCCACCACCACGCGGGTCCTGGCCCATAACAACCTCTTATAATTCTTCGCTGTTTGGTCTGGCGTTTGGCAAGGCGATGTCCTGTCGCCCATCCTCTTTAACTACGCCATTGACTGGGTTCT